GACAGACCGACGGACGGACGGACAGACAGACCGACCGACGGACGGACGGACAGACCGACGGACGGACGGACGGACGGACGGACCGACAGACAGACAGACAGACAGACAGACAGACAGACAGACAGACAGACAGAGCAATGGCAGAACCTGACAAACGAGACGACCTGCCTGGACGCAGAGGACGGGAAATGACCACTCTGACTTGGGCTCCTGGGAAGAAAGCACCCACACTACATCAGACGTTGAAAGCCTCCACAGGCAGAACGTCGGCGTTCCTGACCAGCTTGAACCCTGGAATATCCTTGCACGGAAAGCCTGGTGCGGCGGCGAGGTAGTCGTGGCCGGCGAGGATGCCCCCGGGACGAACTTTGGAAGCCCAATGAAGGAGGTCTTCCTGACGGAAGAAGGCAGCAAACTTCAACTCAAGCCTCGGCGAAGCATCCAGCTCATCACAAAAAATTCGCCGGGAGATTTTAGCATGGAGCTATCGTCTCGACACCGACCTCTGAGAGCTCAGCTTGGCCCTTTGCAAGTACCCTCCAATGCAAAAAAAACACTCTTCTCCAGACTGCCCGGCGTTCGCTCGCATGCGGAGACTGAACTGATCTCACATCCCGCAGCTCACCTTTGCGCTAAATCAGAACCTGGACAGACTTGTAATCGTGGGCTGCATCTATGAAGACGAGGTCTGCGGACCCATCTGCCACCTGAGCGCACTGCTTTGAAGAGCTTTCTGCGCGGGATGGATGTCGCAGGGGTGCTGATTGGATGTTTACAAGGGTTGGCATCTACAGGTAGCAGCTTTGTTCAGAATTGAGCGCAGCTCGGGGCTTCAAAGGCTGAGTCTGCATGGGCACCTGAGACTCCCTGACTCCCTGACTTTAGTGAGCAACTCGTTCTCTGTCATCAGCATTGGCACTAACCCTTTGCCGAAATATGCGGACATGTTCACTCATGTCAAAATGTAAGCGATAGTTCCTCCAAACTGATTAGAGTTCTTATGCCCAAAGCTCTCGAAACACTTTGTCGCACTGGAGCCGATCTGAGCCGGCCTTGCTTGACGCCACCGTACTGAGGTCGTTGATCCACGTGGTGCGATTTGCATAAGGCTGCATTCGCTGCTGGGCCACGGGAACGATGACCCGATCAACGAGAATCATCCGCAAGCCAGGCATCCGCTTCAACAGTGCTTCTGACGTTGCGGCCCAGCAGACACCCAGCTCAACCATGAGCAGCGGCTCATCCGGGCGCGAATTCGACATGTTTCTCAGCAGCTGGAGCAATGCATAAGCTCGATGTGATGGATGGTTAGCATCCCCTTCGCCGTACACTCCCCCATCCGCTTCCCAAGCAAACTTCCAGCGTGGTATCATGAAGCTGTTCTCCACAGCAGCATACCTTCTAATCAAAAGCCACTGCCTGTGGGAGGCCTCCGTGAGCTCCCGCATGCAGTGCAAGAAGCCAGCAGCGCTCGCCATTTCGGAGACCTTGACGTAGCGGTGCGAAGCAGAAAGGCAGCAAGCACCATCAATAAACCACGACAATAACCACGACGACGCGCACAAACAGAATTAAACGGGGCAGTCCGTGGTGGTAGTAGCCGTCGTTGTGGATGTCGCGGTGTTTCTCCAGTGCAATATCGGTGGCGGAAGCAGTAGTAACAGGAGTAGCAGTTAGTGTAGTAGTAGTAGTAGTAGTAGAAGAAGAAGAAGCACCAACACCACAGCAGCAGCAGCAGCAGGAGGAGGGACAGTAGTAGTGGTGGTGTCCGTGAGCCTTGCTGCTGGGTTTTTCCGGGTACAACAGTCAGCCCAAACCGCGTCCTGCCCTTTGACCCAAAAGGGATTACTTTTCAGGTCGCGTCTGTTTGACGTTTCCTTCAGCAGTAGCAGCACCGGTAGCAATAGCAGTAATAGCAGTCGTAGCAGTAGCAGTAGCAGTAGACGTAGCAGTGGCAGTGGCAGTAGCAGCAGCAGTGGCACTAGCAGTAGCAGTAGCAGTAGTAGTAGTCGTCGTCGTCTTAGTAGTAGTAGTGGTAGTAAGAGTAGGAGTAGAGAATAGTAGTACTAGTAGTAGTCGTCGTCGTCGTCGTAGAAGTAGTAGTAAGAGTAGGAGTGGAGAGTAGTAGTAGTAGTAGTAGTAGTAGTAGTAGTACTAGTAGGAGTAGTAGCAGGAGTAGTAGTAGTAGTAGTAGTAGTAGCAGTAATAGTCGTAGT